GTAGCCTAGAGCGCATTTGCTGTTGCATTTTATTTGTAGTGTGAACAACCAGACAAAAAAGTCGAATTCGATCAAAAAAATTGGAATTTAGCATTAAGACCTGCAGTGTGAATGTAGCCTTAGTCAACCATTCAGTACATATAGATCAGTCATTGCAATAATTAGCAGTCCCCAATCTGTGGCAAAACTTCAAATTAATCTTCAGGCTTAAGTCCACTATGGTCATCCAGCTTAACTTGAGACACAAATGTTTGTTGGAAAACAGCCGGAGTCATTTCGCACCGGGCCGCGAGAGTTGAGGCTCGGGTGTGAAATTGATGATTTTCAGGGTTTTCTATCATTAACTCAGTTAACTGGGTCTTTTCCCTTGTTGTAGTCGTGTGTCTTATTTGGAAATATTTACGCATTACCATAGCGACCAGCGAGCATTAAGGGTCAGAGAGGAGGATGTTACTCTCAATGTTGTTGGCGCATTTCGGGAGGATGTTGCTAATGAAGTTACACACTTCTGGTGATAATTTGAAATCACAAATTAATAGTTTGCCCACCAATGTTGTCAGATAATGGCGCCTGACTCATCCAATGCTTTGTGAAAAATACCCCAGTCAATGACCATGAAAAAACCCCGGCAAGGGTCTAAAGTGTTTGGCATCATAAGCAGACTCCTTAGAAAGGAATCCACCTAAGACTAATGAAAATAAAGTATGTGCTAAATATAATCTTCCCTCACCAAATTTCTTGATGAGTTTAAGCGTGCAAACATGTCTCTGAGACAGTACGAAGAGCGAGGTCAATCCGTCGTGCACATCGAGAGAAACAGAATTACACCTTCACTCCACATCAGCAATGAGTAAGCACTATTCATGCTTTTAAAATACTCCTGCTATCTTCCAATGACAGCGGCAATGATAAAAAGGAACCTTTTAATCAATCTGTGGCAAAACTTCAAATTAATCTTCAGGCTTAAGTCCATCCAGCTTTAACTCAAGATATGAATGTTTGCTGGAAAACAGCCTTTCTGACATCACCGCAGGAACGGATGAGGACAGAAACATAGATCCAAGATAGGTGGGACTCCAACATGATGTGCATGGTTAAATGTGATCCGAGACCTATGTTCCCCAAGCAGTCATCATTCTCACTGCCTCAACATCTGTCTGTTTGATGAAGGAGCAATTTTTAATAATCCTGCAGGTTCTGGTCGTGGTTCTGGTTGTGATTCTGAGAAGGGGGCAGCAGGCAGGTGACATGGCCGATGCCTTTGGTGACACCCTCCCTGAAGAGAAGCTTAGCGCCCAGGCGCAAGTACTCGGGGTGTTTGATGAAGCGGAAACGAACAACAGCTCTCTCGCCAGTACGCAGCTCATCCTGCAGCAGAAATCCAAGGTTACATGATGTGGTTACATAGAAGCTTGAAAAATAATCATGTATTATGTAATTTCAAACCTTTCCGTGAAGGCACTCCACAGTGGCAGTCTGCCTGACATTACCAACGTGTATGGTGACCTGTGACCCCCGACGGAAAGTCTTGGCATGGAAGAGCAGGACAATGGCAGCTTCAAACTGACAGCAGATGGTTGGGTTCATCTTGGGACTGACCATCACCATGCCCTGTAACACCAATAACACACTGATGTAACCACAGGTTGTTATCAG